TGCCAATACAGATGCAAAAGTATATATAGCACAACCAGGGTCTTGACATGAATACAATGCCACCAAGCTTACTTAGAGTTTTCCAATTAAGTGTGTGATACTTTAATGATCACATCACAAAAGTTTTGAACAAAGCTTACCTATTTAGCAAGCTGTCTGTGACCCAGGTTGGGCTCTTACCGTTGCTGTACCTTAACTAAGCAGTTAAGAGGTTAACGGGAGAGTTTAATATTCGTGACATACTGTCAGGTTGGTTACTCATGTTATCATTTAATCCTCACAACAGCCTGTTTAACAGACGTTAAGACTGAGGCAAAGAGAGGTGGCATAGGTCTGAGGTCCCAAGGCTCGGCAGGCGCTAAACTAGCTGGGCTAACTCTCCGCTGAACACAGCCTAAAAGCAGAGCAAAAACCCAACAATAATAGAGGCCTTGCAGGTCTCAGACAAGGTCCAACCACCTGGGTTAAACGTTAGTACGTGACTTGTCCCAGTCCTTAGGTTCCACAAGCAGTGGACAGCTTCTAATCTACGATCCGAGTCCGGGGCCGATCCAGGGGGACGCTGGGAAATCGCACATATCCCTCCCTTTTCTCCCGGAGCGCCCTCCTCCCTGTACTGCGTAGCCCTCGGCTGCCCCCTGCAGCTGCGGGGTGATCCTGCAATCTCGGCCACCCTTGTCTTCGCCGCGCCCACCCTCCACTTTCTGGATTGGCTGCTCCAGAAGGTCTCCGGGCCGACCCGCCCTCCGTCACCGGATTGGCTGTGCCTGGCTCGGAGGCCCCGCCCATTTCCCCGGGTCCTTTGATCACGCGCCTGCTGGCTCTTCCGGGGCTCGGGAGCCAACGAGGGCGTTTCTGTCGGGTCTGCAGCGGCGGGAGGTAAGGCATGGCAGGCATGGCGGGGCTGTCGAGGGGGGAGGTCACAGGTCCACGCCTCGGGGTGATGCCAGGATGCCCGGGCGCGGGGCGTCCCCTCTATACACTCCCAAGCACCTTCCTTCCCCGGCCCAAGCCTCCCAGCCCATTGGGAACGACCGCCCGCCGCTGCTTCCCGCATCCTAGGAGCGGCCTGACACCGCCCCCGTGCCGACATGCCCCTACGACCGGGGGACGGTGAGCACGCGACTGGGTGAGGGCAAGCCTGGTGCCCCACGGGCAGGTAGCTCATACCTTGTTCTCGGATGGAAACCCAAGCGAACCTGGGTCAGGGACCTTAAAGCATCTGAGTGTAGCCACTCCGCAAAGTGATGTGTGTGCATCTCGAGATGGAGTCTGACCCTTCCCACTTAGGTCAGCTCCCGACAGGAGAGGAGGGACCTAGACTAGCTTGGGGTGGGGATCAAATCAAGGTGACATCACTTTGCAGATTCAATCCAGCCACAGCACTCCCTACGCGCTTGTGTTCACCTTGACACGAGACTGCTGGGAGAAAAGAGGTCCGGCCATACGAGGAGGCTTCCTAGAAGTTCGTGGGAAAATTCTATTTTTTATTTCCATTGTTCCACGAACTTTTTTGAAGCCCCCTCGCACATCTGGGGAGACAGAAGGGACGAGGAGGGCAGAGTCCAGGCATGGATCCAGTAGTCTTAAAGATCTGGACAGAGGCAGGTCTTTAAAATGCTACCGGAGCAGGGCCCTCCCTATGTGTGTCTCTGCCCATCTCTCCCATGGACCGGTGCCCTAGGACCCCAACTAACCTCTCCCCAGCAGTTGGGATCGGCAACCATTTGACCAACACCCTATCCAGGCCTTGGTTCGGGGCCTTCACTTGGTGCCCTTTACCTCCCTTTCCCCGCCCAATGTGTTTAGGATTATGGGAGGGTTATCCTAGTGCCCTAGGTCTGCTCTCAGATTTTCCTGGGTCTCCACGTCTAGGAGGGGTCCAGAATTTGTATCTCACCCTGGGTGAAATGGATAACCTCCCTCCCTCCTCCCCAGGGAGCCCAGTGGAGGCACCCTCCCAGTGGAGGCACCACACTACCCATGCGGACCAGCCAGATCTCCGACTCGGGCTGCCACTGCCACTGCCGATGTCATGAGTAACACCACAGTGCCCAATGTCCCCCAGGCCAACAGTGACTCCATGGTGGGCTACGTGTTGGGGCCTTTCTTCCTCATCACCCTAGTCGGGGTGGTGGTGGCTGTGGTAAGCAGCTCCCTGGTCCCCCCACATAGCGTTTGCTGACAGGGCTGGATGTGATCTGCATAGTCTAAGCTATCCTGCTGTATTATTATGAGGGGAAGGGTGTGGAGGTGGGGCCCCTCTTGCTTGTGGACATTCCTAGGCTCAACAACCTCCATAGTGTGTTTCTTTGTTCCAGGTAATGTATGTACAGAAGAAAAAACGGTGAGTGCCCTTTGTTTAGGTGGAGACCCTGCACCAGTGCTTCTCTCCCCTCCGCCCCATCCTGCTGAATTTTTGCCCCATAGGATCTGAGTTCTCTGCATACATAGAGGATGCCCCTCAGTCTGAGATTACCTACCCTTGAGGTTATGCTACATTTTTCTGCCCATCTCAACTTCCCCACTGGGGAGAGGCCACTGCAGGAATGGGCATGTATTCTGAGAACCCCAGCTTACCCCAGGAGATATGGACTAGTAGAGGGGATATGGACTGCACTGAGTCTCCCCATCTCCCCAGGGTGGACCGGCTTCGCCACCACCTGCTCCCCATGTACAGCTACGACCCTGCTGAGGAGCTGCATGAGGCAGAGCAGGAGCTGCTTTCTGATGTGGGAGACCCCAAGGTGAGCATTCCCCAGGCAGAGGTGGGAGGCTGAACTGTCATCACCCATTGTTGGTAAGTGCCTTCGGGTCGATTCAGACTCATAGTGACCCTGTATAGGTTTTCCAAGAGGCTGGTGGATTTGAACCACCAACTTGGTGGTTCAGTGTTTGTTCTGCTCTCAGCTCTCCCCTTTGGAGACAAGCTTGGGGGGGGGAGAGCTCCCTCCAAAGTTGTGCCTTGACTCCCAAGACTACAGCCCAGCCCTGTGGCACAATCTCCCCCACAGGTGGTACATGGCTGGCAGAGTGGCTACCAACACAAGCGGATGCCCTTGCTAGATGTCAAGACATGAGCTGACCTCTTGCCCTAATCTTCAGAGCCTTGGAGTCCTGGAGGGTCTGGTCCTGTAGCCTGCTGCTTCCCCACTCCCACTCACCCAGCACCATGTAGGTACTGGGTCTCCAGTTCTCTTACCCACCCTCAGAAGCATCAGTTTCCCAAATCCCTGCACCTTCAGTCCTTTGTGAGCTCTGAGCCTACTTGCTCATCCCCGGGCACTAATGGGAAGACAGCTTTTCTTTCTCAGGGTAGTAATTGGGAGGGCATGACTCTTTACCTAGGCATGAGCCTCCTCTAAGAGTCCCTGGTTGTTGAAAAGGCCCTAGACTAATAAGGCTGGAGGGTCAACTGTACCCCAAGGTGCCTTGGAAGGTCTGGCAATCTACTCTCCCAAATCTACTATTAAAAACCCTTTGGAGCAATCCTGACATACATGGGTTCTGAATCAGGACTGGTATCAGCTGGTTGCTTCTAACCTTCCCTGATTGGCATTAATTTTCCAGGAGGGCACGGGAGCCTTCCCTGGTGAAAGGACCTGTGGTAGATATATTTTGTAAATAAAATGTTTTGTGGCTACAGCTGTGGTTGATTTCTTTGAGGGGCTGTAAGTTCCTTCCCTGAAGCTGATCCCAAGTTGTTCCCTTTCCCCAGTGGCCAGTGCTGGGCATGGGCACCTCACCCACTGGATCCTTGGTTTCCATCCTACTTCAGGTTTTGCCCACCACACACATGACTTCAGTCCAGAAAAGGATATATTTTTTTTATTCAAGTAACTGCAAATAGGAAACCAGAGGAGGGCCCCAGGCTGGGACAAATTATGGCTCCCCTATCCCTGACAGAACAAGGGGAGACGGTGGCCCCTACACCCTCACCAGTCAAAAGGTGCCACCCCTCCTCACACTCTGCTGCAGCATCCTGGGGGCAGGGCCCCACCTTCCCTGGGACTGGGATGTCAGTGACCCAGCCTGCTGCACCCCTGCCCCCTTGAGCATCGGGGGCAGGGAATGTGGGCAGAAAAGGGAGGCGATGAACATTTGGCACTGGTAGCAGCAGCAGTGATGACAGATGTCTAAGAATGAAACATTGAACAAAAACAACACAACTGTCCAGAGGTAGTTTGTGAACAGAGGAAAAGATGGAACCAGAACCTTGGGGGGCAGGGAGGAGCAGGAGGGGTGGGAATGGGCAAGGCTAGCTCTGTGGTGTTAGTGCCCCATCTGAAGAAGCCTAGATGGAAGCAGACAGGGGTGTGTGTAGTTTCAGCCAACCTAAGTGGCTGCTACAGGGGCCTGGATAAATGGTGACTCAGGACCCCACTAATGCAAATGGAGCTAAGAGGGCTCCACCCCTCCAGCCTGCCTTCCTGTGCCCCTAGTCCAATCTAGTAGACAAAGGAAGGTAGAGAAGGTAAAAAAGGGAGGTGTGAGCCCCACCTGGTGACAAGTTAGCTTCCACAGGCTGAGCACCTACCTCCATTGGCCACATCTGCTGCCAGTAAGGTGGAGTGGGGCATGTCAGAAGATGGGGCTTGGGTCCCTTTTAAGGCCAGGGAAGCCCACCCAGGCTCCTCTATGGGCAGCCAAAGGGAAGAATGGGAGGGCCCAGATGGCAATGTCCCCACGCCTGAGAGGACGGGGGCACAGCAGATGCAGGGTGCAGCTAAGTGGGATGTTAGCCTTGTCCAGGAGGGGAGATGTGTGTGTGGGCGGAAGGGACCACTGAGAATGGAACCAAAGGAAAACTGCTCCCCGCTGTGGTGGAGGCCCTACAGCGGCTGGTGTGCTGTGTAGTGTGTAGTGAGGTGTTGGGGTGCCGGTGCCCAGGAGATTGGTTATGCGTGGGTCTCGGGGAAGGGAAGGGAGCGTGGGAATGGAGCGAAGCTGTCCAGTCCCAGAAGGAAACGGCTCCTTGGGGTCGGGAGCAGGCTGCACGGTCACTGCTCTTCCTCTGAGGACTCCTGCGAGATACCCTCTTCTTCCTCCTTCTCCTGCAGGGGCAGGGCAGGGCAGGGCAGGGCAGGACACAGACAGTAAGCAGGAGCAAGGACTGGCCCCTCCTTCTCCACCCAGAGGCTGGGAGGGAATGAGGCGTACAGGGGCGGGGCATAGGGCAGACTCACCCCCCACCTCCAGTACTCCCTGGCTCTCAGGAGAAGGGGGATGAGTCAGGGCTGAGTGTGTGTGCATGACTCAGCAAGCTCCATGGCTGGGTTTCATTCATAAAAAAGGAAGAATTTAAAGAGAGGAAAAGAAACCACACACATGCTGCTTGCACACACAGCCAGGAGCCAGGCCCCCGCAAGGGAACCTGGGGGCAGCAGAGCTCTCAGGGTGGATGGGGAAAAAACGGGAAGGGAATGGGGTGGCTAGAGTGAGGAGCCCTGCCAAGCAAGTAGTCCTGGTGCACAGAGGCAGGTGCTGGGGGCAGTCGGGTCCTGGGTAATAGGAAGTGGGCTGACCTCAGGCCAAGGCAGGGAGGAAGGGGAAGTGTGTGCCGCTGGGGCTCACTCATTGGGCGGGAATGTTGGGACACCGCATGGGCCCACAGCCCCCGTGCCAGGCACAAACTCCAAAACAACTTATTTCCTGTTACTCACTCCTGGGGCCCAGCCAGCACCCCCTAACCCCACCCTCACCCTAGTAGCAGCTCAGCTCGAGGAATGAGTACCTCAGGAAGCTGAGGAGGTAGGCCAGGGGCAGGAAGGGGCCAGGAGGGCCCCAACTGGAATCTAGCCTGGAGAGGTTTGCCCACTCCCCTCCACCAGCTATTTGGGATTCCCAAAATGGATGACACCTCTGTGACTCCCCATAAGGTGTGGCAGGATCACATCTCAATCCTTCTAGCACTAGGGTCCCCAGAACTGAGCTTCTCGGTGGTTTTTCCTCCCCAGCTTTGTCCTTCCCCCTAAAGGACCACGGTGGGTGAGGAAGGATATATGTCCTTCAGTTTGTGGTCCCCACTTCTTATCTATAATAGAGGACAGACTAGATGACCTGGGTCTGCCCTAAAAGTTGTATGTCTGCTTCAGGAACAAGAGAAGACGTAGAGTTCCCACCACACCAGGGCAGGGCAGGGCCCCTCACTTTTCAGACCTCAGCAAACCCTTTTCCCTTCTGACTCTAAACTGATGTCTCCACACCCCTGGCCTCAGGGGCAGAGAAGGCAATCTTTCCATTGTGGGTTCCTGGTGTCAGGCCCCATTCATTCTTACTTAATGCTCTCTTATCCTAAGAACCAAGATGAGCACCATTAGCCCTTCACTTACCAGCTTTTTGGGTCTGCCCCTTGGTTTCCTTCCTGGAGTTGTGGTGGTTTTCTAGAGGGTCAGAGAAGAACCAGTAAGTCAAAAAATGCCCCAGGATGGGAGGAGCAGAAGCAGGTTAACTGCCCACCTATTCAGGGTAGGCCAGGACTCTCCCTGCAAGCAGGCCCACCCCGAGTCCAGCTGGTGATGACTGGGCCAGTCACTCGCCCTTTCCCCCCGCCACCCCCGAACTCATACGCCCCCCACTCCCTCCTCCACCCATGACTCAGAGGATATGAGTCGTGTTTTAGAAAAAAACAAAAAACAAAAAGCCAAACAACTTTTTCTGAAAAGCTGATGCCACCATGAATCTGGCCTTCACTGCTTACCCCACCCCACCCCACCAGGCTCCAGGAGACCCCAAGATGGAATGGAACATTCCAAGACCAGGGTGTAGCAAAGCTACACCTCTAGTATCCCGAACTTGCCTTTCTTCGGAAGACCTAGGCACTTCCAAGTTGAGTACCACTATTATATCCACTTTCCCTTTTTACCAAAGACCCATCCCCGTGCAAGAGAGGGGTATCAGTACAGGAATCGGAGAGAAAAGCCAGTCCCTTCCCAGTCCTCCCCCCACAGCTTCAGCCACCTGTAGGCCTCCCCCATGAGCAGCCCCCATGTCTTGCAGCCTTACCCGGGTCTTGGTGGCACCCTTGTTTTTGCTCCCCTTGGGTCGCCCCCGAGGTCTCTTGGGTGTCGGCACTTCACTGGGTTCCTTCTGCAGATAGATGGGGCAGTCAGAGACAAGTGCACAGGGACGTACCTCTTCTACCTCTTTCACAAGACAGAGCCCACCTCAGCAGGATTAAGCAGCAGAAGTCACGGCAGGCAAACCTCTGGGGAGGCAAGGCCTGTTTGACCATCTTTGCCAAAGAGATCCTTAGCCTCAATTTCTTTGTTTCCCTGGTTTCTGTGATAAAGTGGTGTCAAGAAGACCCCCCGGGAAAGATGTGGGACAGAAAGACATTCTTACGCCACCAACGCCCCAACTCTGCCACTGACCAGTGGTTTTGCATAAGATCCTTCATGCCCAGTTTTTCCATCTGTAAAATGGCACTGAGACTTACCTTGTAGAGTGTTGTGAAAAGTAATTGTGTATGGAAAATGTCTAACACTGGGATGTAATCATAAAGGCTAACTGCCCACTTCCCACCAACACTCAGATGGCACATGCTGGACTCCCTGCTGGGGGTGCAAGAGAAAAAAGGATTTCCACCTTCCATCCTTGGAAGAAGCCTCCTGCCTCCACCTGCAAACCTGGACCTCCTTTTGGGCTGCCTCCCAGGAGAAAGCTTTAATGGCCAGGACCCCAAAGACCCTGCCACTGAAATATTAATTCGCTTGAGACAGAATAGAAAGCTGTGAACAATGCAACTAGGTAGTAGAGGTTTACTGGCTGTACCCTGAGTGGCTGCCCATGGGCACAGTTTGGTAACTCAATACCATTCTGTCACCCCGACACCAGTGTTACCTTCAGGAGCAGGAGGGTAACAGGGAGGTCGAGGGAGTCCTCGAGGATGGCGGGCTCTGAAGGTGACAGCCAAATTCCAACACACAGGGACAGAGCCCTCAGATTTCATGTTCACCCAAAGACCCAGAAATAGGTCAGCACTGCAAACTCTCTCCATCTTACACAGAGAGAAAATTGAGGCCTGCAGGTATAACCTGCCCAGTATGAAATGGTTGAGACACCTTCAATTCCTCTCTTCACCTCTTCTCTTCCCAGTAAAGGGCCAAAACAGGGCTTTGGTCAGCAGCTGCCTCTGTGGGAGACACTAAAATCTCCACCAAATAACAGGTGACCCCTCTCCCCCAACCCAGGACCTAGCCTAGCCTCGTTTCCTAGGGTGACCTCCACAATGCAGCTGGCTTTCCTACCCCTGTGGAACCTTATAGGCAGCTGTACAAAATTCCATTATCTTTAAATTCCATCTCTCCACAAATTTTTGAAGTCCCCTGCTATTGCCTATCTGGCCGAGTTCTGAGGGTCCTCTACACCAACGCCCCAGCATTATTGTAACTGTTGGGCCTTAATTCCATTTACAGAACCAGGGCCAGAGCCCAGCCCTATGCAGTGTGGTCTTTAAACATGTGTATCCCAGGGAACTCTGTAATGGGCCCGAGATGAAACTTGACAGAGTAATGTTTTATGCACTGGAAAAAAATGATAAATAACCCTAACTATATATATATATATATTCCCCCCCCCTTCCCCATTTCTCAATGAATTGACTTTTATTTTACAATGACTGAACAACTTGACTTTTACCAATGGTACAATCACTGTCTTGAACTTACAGGCAGGGCTTCAGAACTCACCTGGCAGTCTGCGGCCAGGATCAGAATGTGTGTAGAGTATATGCAAACATGGGCAAGCTAGTGCATATGTATGTGAGTAGTGTGTAGTAAGCATACACACACAGGAATGACTCTGTACTCCTTCAGTCCCGCCTGTTCTGACACACCCGGCACCTCCCTAGCCCAAGGAGTTAAAGCAAAGCAAAGATTCAGACACCCACCTGACTTCCTACCAGCGCAGTCCCGGGACTCACCGGAGGCTGCTTGCGTGGTCTGCCCCGCCCTCGCTTCTCAGTACCGTCCTTTTCTTGCTTGGAGGCCAAGGGCTGGCTGGATTTTGAGCTTGATTCACTCATCTTTCTTTCTCTATGGAGCAGACAAAAAAGATGGCTGGGATGCTAGGAGGCAATAAGAAAAAAATAAATAAATAAATAAAACATCTCCCTGCATCTGTTTCTCACCACCCAAGCACACTATAGGAAACTGCCTGTTCCTAGGTATACCCCAAATCCTCATCCTGCCCAGGGCAGCCCCCAGCATCCTGCCACATGGCAGGGCAGGGCTGTTGGGCACTGCTCAGCTTGTCTCCTGGTCAGCAGGATTTTGTTCTGTACTTCTCTACTACCCCCACAGGCCAATCCATAGACATGGGTTGAGGCTACCCTGGGACAAAGGTGTAGGTCTAATACACTGCCAGGGTCGGTCCCCTCTTTGTAGCCATTGGCTGGCCCTTCCTTCTCTTTAAGACAAAACCAAAGTCCTGGGCAGTTCCGAGGGGATGTGGGAAGAAAGGTAAAAGTATGGACTGAGACCCAGAGTGGCCATGTAACCACCCATTTACATCCATCCCCTGTCCACCCTGCTGCCAAAGGGCTTCAAAAAGTTTGTGATCAAGTTCCATTTTTCCCACAAACTTTTTGCAGGCTTGTCATACCGCCCATCTGGCGAGGTCTAAGACTCAGGACCAAAGTAAAAAGGTCCAACCTTGACACTCCATAGCCTACCAAGTGGCCAGGGTTGGTAGCTACCTCAACACTTCTCCTCTTCCCCAGAGCACTCAAAGATGGGGACAATTTGGAAAGGCAGTCGAAGACAGGAAATGGCTGAAACTCTAATGGGTGAAGAGGAGGAAGGGTGGAAAAGGAATCCAAATTGAAAAGGCTGAGCTCCTCTTCTCTCCCAGTAGCCCTACCATGGAGTCTGATGGCATTTTTCTCCTTGATGCTTACTAGAGAGGCAGGGATTTCTCCAGCTGAGAACCATCTGACAGATCCAAGCCCAACCCCCAGGGGTTCTATCAGAGCTGATTCCCAAATCTACTTCTCTGTTTCTGGCACTTTCCTTTTTAGAGGTCAGTTGGGATTTAATCAGCCCCACAAATTTTGAGTTTGCCTAAAACTGCCCATGGCAAAAGAGTTTTTATCCTATAGCTGAGACCCTCTTCCAGGAGCTTATTAAGAACTGTGAGGGTCCCTCTACATCTTCACCCCTTATCCCCCACTCCCCTAGTAACTAATCCCTAAGTACCTCCCCTTCTGAAATTTCTCTATCTGGGAAATGGGTGATAAATCACCTGACTCAACTGCCTCTTCATATTGTTAACAAAGCTCAAATTAAGTTAAGTTTAGATAATACTTTAAATGGTGCTACATGCAAGCAAGACAGGCTTAATCTTCATGTGCTAAAAAATGGGAGGGTAATCATCACTCTGTCCAAAATGAGAACTATAACAGTTGAAAACAACTTATCTTCCCCCTTTTTCAAATCTTTTAACAATTTCTTATTTTAATCCAACGAAAAGACATTTTGGTAAACTTAAGGTTTTGGGAGGGCCTGAAGTGCTCATCCTCAAGCATCAAGAGGCCCTTCAGATGACAAGGCATTGTCTGGTAATTACTCTATTTTATAATATTTTAGACTTGGAGACCCTTTTAAGTGAGATGGTTGGTGATTTATCCTGTTCCATCATTAGTGGCTTGGCGTGCTCTGTAATTACAGGCAATGATTAGAATCTTTTATTACACCATAGAGCTCCCTTAAAAACTAAACACCAAAATTAATCAGCAAAATCAGGGCTGACCTCACATAAGGTTTGCCAGGCACCCTTATAGAGGGGTTCTAGTTAAGGGAAGCCAGCCCTGAATCCGAGACAGTCTGGGCTCCGCCTGCCTAGGGAAGCTGGTGGGTCTAGCTGGAAGATCTTATACCATTGGATGCAACCCCACCTCTTGCTGCTACAGACCCTTTAATTCACCTGTCTCTCCTTTCTCACCCCTTACCCCCAGCCAGGCCCTAAGGACCTGAATGAAGGCTGAGGCCTTTTCTAGAGGCCAAAAAATTCTTGTCTCTTCCACCTGTTTCTGAACATCAGAGAGGCCTGGCTTGGAGAAGTCACATTTAGGGCCCAACCTCAATCGCTATATTAGTAATAAACTCGCTTGCGCCTCACACATGTCTCCCTACATAGACTGTGTATGCAGTATGTATTCTACAAATGCGTAGAAAATCTTCAGAAATGACCCTAGGAATCATGTTGGGCGCCTCCCCTCCCACTTGTTTTCCAATGAAAAAGTAGTCCAGAGAGGCCTGATGAGTTGCCCAAGGTCACACAGCAAGTTGCTGGAGTAGGTTCCTGGAGACCCCTCCAGGCCCACCACACTTTTCCCCACCTGGAAGCTGGTTACTTCCCTGACCACCCTCCGCTACAGACCACTCCCCAAGGTGACTCTGCAAGTGTCTGCACCCGAAAACCGTTGCAGGCCTGGCCAGGCCAGACGGCGGGACCAGTGGCCAGGGCGCGCGCAGGGGGGTGAGGTGGGGGAGGGGCGCAGGCCCTCCGGCAGGCGCGGGAAATCGGTGCACCCCGACCGCATGCACCGCCACGCGGGTGCACCCGGCCCCATTTCCTGCCAGAGGGGGCACCCAAGCTCGCCTTGGGGCAGGAAACCTGGCGCGCGCGAGCGCAGGAGAGAGGAAGAAAGCCACGTCCCTCCGCACCCTCCCCGCAGACCCCCTTCCCCCAAAAAATATGAACGGGGAGTCAAAGGGACTAGTTCCAACAGAAGCCAGTAAAGCAGAGAAACCAGTTTGTGGGGGCGGAGGGCAGGCTCGGCCCTGGAGGCTGAAGAGGCGCGGGCCGGGCCAGAGGTGGGGTCAGGGTGAAGCCCCAAACCCAGGCCCGGGATCCGGCCTCATCTGAGGAGGAGGGGCCAGGAGAAAGGCCTCGGGGAGTTAAGAGAAAATTGTGGGGTGCTTGCCCATCTCCCTCACTTCTTGAACTTCCCCAGACTGCGGAAGACCCCCGAGACCCCCCAACTTTCCCGCGGCGCCGTAGCTTCTTCCCACCTCCTCGCCCAGGCTCCAGTCTGAGCGGTCGCCGTGCGAGGTGCACCCGGCTCTCCGGGTGCACAACTCGCGCTCACCGCAACCGCGCGCCCCCTCCCCCACCGCGCGCTTTTCCCCGGTCCCCACCCCCAGCGGTGCGCCCCCGACGCGGGGGCAGGAGGGTGCGGAAGCCCACTCCGCGCCGCAGGGCCCGGGCGTCTACCCCCGCGCCGCGCAGGTCTCTCCCTCCCCCGGCGGCTCACGCTGCCCTGGCCTGGGAATAAAGCCGGCGGCGCGCGCTGCAACCCCGGGCGGCGGGTAGAAGGGGCGGCGAGTCGACGCGGGCACCCCCTCCTCAGACGCCGCGGCCCCCGCCGCCGCCGCGGCCCCCGGGGACGACTCACCGCGAGCTCGGTCGCCGGCCTGCGGTGTGCGCTCAGGGCTGCCGGGAGCGACGGTACTGGGCGCTGAGGACCGGCCTGGCTCCGCCGCCGCCGGTAGCAAATGAGGATCTGAAACCGGGAGAGAGCAGAGGCGCTCAGAGTCTGCCGCCGCCGCGTGCTCACCGCCCAGGCCCCCGAGGGGTATTTATGTCACATCCAAGGGAGGGGGAGGAACAGTCCCCCTCCCCGAAGGATGGCGAGGGGCAGGAAGCTGGGCACGGCCCGTGCGCGGCCTCAAAAAAATAATTTAATTAAATTATAGATATTTAGAAAAAAAAAAAAAAGGAAGCTACCGGAGCGGCCGCGAACTCACGCCTTCTTGGAGCTGCGCCAGAGCCAGAAATAGACCCGGCACGGAGTCCCAATTAGAGGAGCGCAGCCCCGACTCAGGGGAGCTTAAAAAGAGCGACCCAGGGGCAGGGGGGACGGGCCCGCCCGCGCCAGCCTTGTCACTAAGGGGGCGGGACCATGCAAATTAGCCCGGGGATTTAAAAGGGCGGCTGCCCGCCAGTTGCAGCAGAGGGTAGGTGCTCACGGTGCGGATAGGTTCGAGGTCTCAGACGTCTGGGAGCGAATGTAGAGGAAATCTAGGCTGGGAACTGGTGGGCCCATTGGTGACACCGTCCTGGCTTGGGAGAACTGGCTAGTAACGCCGAGAAATTGGGAAGGAGCTTTGTGCGATGGGGAAGGTGGCCTTTCTCCCCGAACTGTGGTTCTCGGGATAGTGTACCTTTAGGGACCTTCTGAACATGTGGGTCTTTCCCCTTCGGCGTGTGCGTGGGCGTTCGTGCCTACGGGCCCACGTAACGTGAGCGAGGAAAAGCGAACCTGTGGCCTACCTACGGATCTCTGCGCCCATATTCTCGGTCATAGATCTTAAGTAGGCAGACAGGTGTCAGCATGTGCATTTCAGTGTCAGCCCGCGTGTGGTTCACTGGTGAAATACAAGTGTTGTGAAACTTGTGAAATTTAAGTTATGGTCACTGGTAGATAATCAAGGTACAGTCTTTAAACAAAACAAACGGACTCACTCGCAAATAATCCAGTCATGCCATAAGGTGATGTGGTTAGCGTTTGCAGGATGTGCGGTCCCAGTTTGTATCCAAGCCCTCCGCTGACTTTTGGCGTTTTGTTTTTTAAACAAAGCGTGGGCTAGAGATCGCCTGGAAGCTCTTTGAGGACAGGGGCTGAGTTTTACGTACGCCACACCCGCGGCTCCTGGTTCAACAAAAACTTGTTGCACATAAGAGAAAGAAGCCACAGTGGAAAGATGGCGGTGGAGCGGCGCGCCTTGCAGGCCGGGTCCAGGGCCTTCTGGGGCCACCTCCCCGCCCGTGGGCCCTGAGGCGGCCTTCCACACCTTCCGTGGTGTAGGGAATTGCTATGCGTTTCTGTGTGACACACGGCAGCTGTGACTCATGTATTTCTTTGCTCCCCTTCCTCCCTGGTCATCGGAGGCCCAGTTCAGTACTCTCCTCCGGAGGTGATCGGGCGGCGGAGGGGGACGCGAGGAACCCTGAGCCTGGAGTGGAGGCGGGGTGGGGAGCTGGAAGGGCCGGGCCTCCTAGTTTCAGGAATGTTTCAGGAAT